TGTAATAACCCTAAATTATGTAGCCTTATTAATGAATCTTGTGTGGGCAAATTAATTAATGATAGCTATATGTGGATAGTCTAAAGTTAAGTATGGTTAAATAAATTAAAAGGCTAAACATAATAGGATAAACCCACACCAAGTAATGGCCATAATGGCCCAAACTCATAAACTCTTGAAATTTTATGATCTTAGACTAAGCCCACACCAATGATAAACCCAAGTAGCCCAACCTAGGGTGAACCCAACCCAAAGAGACTCCTTGGGCCGAACCCAATATGTAAAGGAATAAGACTTGGCCCATTTATTAATTTCAATGGAAATCTAACCCCAAAAGGCCAAGTGGGCCAAACCCATTTCCTAGTGTGGCCTTGGCCCAAATGCAAAGTAATCCCCCCATTAAGAAGCCCAAAATCGTGGACCCCCTCTAGTGGGCAACAAACCCAAGTCCATGAACCTATGATGAGTGACGTGGCACATGATGGATGGATGCCACTACATGCAACCAATAAGGGAAAAGAATGGAATGGAACATGGCTATTTCCAAGGCAAGCCGCGGCCATAATGGAAGCAAGAAGGCATGAAGTGTCTTTCCTTCTTCCTAGGTGACACATTAAAAGATCATAAATTTTTCCCTTCTCCCTAGGCGCACACCAAAGGTTCACAAACCCAAAGCCTTCCCCAATTATGACTAGAGAGTGGAGCCACTTTTCCTCATCCCCCTAGGCGCAATAATTATCATGAAAAGGGAAAGGCTTGTTTTACACACTTTACGTTGAGTGTGGGACACTCAAGGTGACCCCCCAACCCCATGCATTGGGAAAATCACACTGACACCTTCTCCTAGGGTTTCAATTAAGGAAAGTTAAAAGGCAAAAGCCTTACACACTAACCCATATTCCCCTATTAATCATTAAAGCATTGAAGTTTATCCCTTTAAACAAGGCGCTACTTACAAGAGTTCCTCCTCCCCATGCACATCACTCCTCAAGCAATTAATGTTGAACCTTATCTTCCCTCCACCCTAGGCGCTACACACAAGAATTCCTTCTCTCCATGCGCATCACTCCCCAAGTTATTAATGATGAGTCTTATCTCTCTAATCTAGGCAGGACATGCAAGAGTCCCTCACCCATGCGCATGACACTTTGAACAAGGTGAGAGATTTGCCTAACCCACACACTCCACCTAGAACCTAACCCCTCCTCTCCTAAGTGTGATGATTAAGGGAACTTAGATAAAATAGATGACCCAAGCCTTCCCCCATCCTAACCGTACACACTCCCTCACTCACTCTAACTCCAACAAGAAACCAAAGGAAAACAAAGAACCCTCTCTTGCCCCACCAAGGCTTCGTCCTTCCCCCAAAGAACAAGAAACCAAAGAGAAACAAACCTCTCCCTCCCCTAAGACTTCGGCCATTAACATATTGTGGGTAAAGGAACATAAAAAATAGCTTCCAAGCCTCCTTATCTCTTAACTCGTGGAAGGTGGGCACTTAGAAGAAATATTGGTAGAAGAAATACTCCATTGAACATCATCCTCTGAGGTAAGGTCCCTTAGACTCTATGCTTAAGTTATGATCTCCATCCCTCTTAGATATTTTCGGTTTATAAAGATTAAAGGAATATCTTCTTCCCTCATTCGAATTCTTGAAAACTAAAAAGAAAGGAAAACCTTGTTAAAGTGGGGCTTACATGTTAACCGAATTGTTAGAGTGCTATGAATAAATCCACGTTGTTAGAATCATCTTCTAAGTCCTAATATCCTAAAGGGCCGAACCTAAATGTGATGTATGGACCAAGTGAGTTTTAGAATCACCTATTAAGTCTTATTATTTAATTAGGCCGAACCAAGGGTGCAAAGGAAGACTAGAGCATTGGAAAACCTATGTGGCCGAACTTGAACTCTAGTGAAGTAAAAAGACAAGACAATAGTGTAAGTGATTTATGGTTGTAGAAGTAGTTTCCCTATGGTTGCCACCCCCTTTATGTAAAGTGTTGGTTTGACTGCAATCTGTTATATGGTGCTATACAGTGATATGTTTGGCTGTTTGGAACTAATGTTTTGTTCATGCAAGATGTGTTATGATGGCCTGTGCACTAATACCACAGAGGCAACCTGACGAGGACCCTGGGTATTCGTCCGTAAGACCATGGAGACTAATTGCCATGGCAGGATTAGTATGATGATTTGAAAGCATGATTTATCTTCCAAACTATGTTTCAAATGTTTTTCCATTCTATTATTGTATATGTTATTATATGACAGTTGCAGGAGTAAGCATAATGGTTTGGAGGTTGCTCCAACTATGAGTCCTTACTGAGACCCCCAATCTCACCCCTCTTTGGGGATCCCCCTCTCAGGTAAAAATGACCAAGTGGGTAAGGGAAGGCAAGAGATTGGTACGTCTTGAAGATGATGCTACGCAGTCACTTACGGATAAAATTATTGAGCTTTGTAATGAAGGACAGTATGAACAGGCTATGTATATTGTATGACTTGAATTATTCGGAGGCTACGACTGCACTGAATCCTTATGGATTGAGTGATGCACTTTATTTATGATTGGATGACTGTAATAGATTATGTTACTTATGCTACTTCAGACATTTAACATGTGTTTAAGGTATTATATTTTGGGGGTTTGAACTTAAGGGGCTTTATGGACTATGCGATTCTGTTGTGAGACCCATATAATTCAGCCATGCATTGTTATTTAAGGTTAATTAACTAAATTTTGATATAATGGATTAAGAGGTACGAATAGGGCTAAGACTTCACCCTGGTATCCACGGTTTATTAGATGGACTTAGGAAAGATATTTAACTTGATGAAATTTTTCATAAAAGACTTAAAGGTCATTGCATGCGTGGCTGGAATTTTAGAATAATAGGAGGACCTAATAATAAAGTTATAGGGGTTAAATCAAGAGAGGACTTAGAAATTAATACGACTCGTGACATAATGCACCCTAGGCATAGGGAGGAAATTTTAGACGCTAAGAACCCATGATTGATAGATAAATATGATTGTTAACTTGAAGAATTGAAGAACGAAATTAACCCCCTAGAACAATATAAGTAGACCACGCTTAGAACAAGTCTTCTGCGCTAAGTATAGCAATGTTAACACCTATGGATTGAGTATACAAAGAGGGTGTTACATTTAATGGTATCAGAGCATTTTCTGAGCTTTGGAGTAAAAAAACTATTCTCTAACTCCCTTTGTTATAACCTGTGACATATGTGCTGCACTATGCCACCGCGTAGACCACCTACCCGCAACAATCCTCAAGGTTCCGAGGACATGCAAGGCCAAATCAATACCTTAAGGGATACCATCACACAGATGCAGACAAACGCGGGGGAGATGTTCCAGAATATTCTGAATGAAATAAGACGCAACCCTAACAACACAACCCATAACAACACCACGAGCGGCTCGGGCACCGGGGGAGCCGGTGGTGGTGGTCCCCAACCGCCCCCAGACCATGGAGCGGCAGGCCAGAATAATCAAGATCTGCTGCTGACATTTAGGAAGCACAAACCACCCTCATTCCATGGAGGACACGATCCGATCGTGGCTGTGCAGTGGCTGCAGGCCATGGACAAAATATTCAGAGTGGTCCAACGCACCGAAGATCAAAAGGTATTATTTTCGGTGTACATGTTGGAAGGAGACGCCCATCATTGGTGGGCTAATGCGTCTCAACCTTTGGAGATGCAAAATGCGGCGATTACTTGGGCCGTATTTGAAGAAATGTTTCTGGAGAAGTATTTCCCGATCTCAATCCGGGACAACAAGCAAGGTGAATTCGACCGACTCGTACAAGGGACCATGACGGTGGACCAATACTACGCTAAATTCAACGAACTACTTCGATTGGCGACTTACCGAGGAACCATGCCCATGCCGGATTTTCTGACGGCAAAATTCCAAAGGGGTCTGTCCGCTAGGATTACAGAATTGGTAGCTTGCAACGACACCTGTGACCTGGCCACCTTAGTAAACCGATGTAGAAAGGTGGAGGCGGTCGGTTTGCAAACAAGGAAAACCACGGAGACCAGCGGATCCGGATACAGAACTCTGATGACTAGGAACGGACCATGGAGAGGAAAGAGCAGAGGCAGACCATGGCAGCCCAGGCGTGATGACCACAAGTTTAAGAGGCCCGGGTACCCCTGAGGAAACAGCAGCAGGGCTCCCAATCGCCCCAAATGTAGGAAGGCACATTTCGGAAATTGTTTGAGCGGATCGATGAAATGCTTCAAGTGCGGCCAAGAGGGACACTTCATCAAAGATTGTCCACAATTGAGGGAGCAACAGCCAGCAGCTGAGGCACCAAGATTGGGCAGAGTTTACACGCTGGATCAACATGTGGCGGACCAGACAGCCAAACTAGTTAAAGGTACGATCAATATATGTGGTGAAAAACTATCTGTTTTATTTGACTCTAGTGCGACCAATTCCTTCATTCCCGACTATGTAGCAAATGCATTTAACTTAACTATGAGCCCATTGCAATCCCCAATACAAGTCACCTCTGCGACGGGGGAAGTGACAACGTCTCACTTCATATGTAGAAATGTAGAATTCAGATACAAAGGAAGGAAGTACACCCAATACTTCATAATTCTCCCCTTAGCCAAACTAAACCTAATATTGGGAATGGACCGGCTGGCCAAACAGCGCGTAGTAATTGATTGTAGCAACCGAAGTATAATAGTCGGCGGGGAATGGATGGAGACCCCACTCCCCAGTACTTCACCGGTCGAATCAAGAGATTGTACTTTCATGCTAATAGCTGGCCCGGTAGGTGCAAGCGAGACGCCGCTGATGAACATTCTCGTGGTCAAAGAATTCGAGGATGTATTTCCTGACGACATTACCACCTTCCCCCCTGAAAGGGAAGTGGAGTTCTCTATTGAGCTTATGCCCGGGACTGGGCCAATCTCAATTGCACCCTACCGCATGTCTCCCCTTGAACTAGTAGAATTGAAGAAGCAGCTAGAAGACTTGCTAGGGAAGAATTTCATCTGACCCAGTGTGTCCCCGTAGGGAGCACCAGTTCTATTTGTAAACAAGAAGGACGGGTCAATGAGACTTTGCACGGACTATCGGTAACTCAACAAAGTGACTTTCAAGAACAGGTACCCCCTTGCCCTGTATCGAAGACTTAATTGATTAACTAAGGGGTGTGAAGGTGTTTTCGAAGATCGACCTCCGGTCAGGATACCATCAGATCCGAATCAAGCCGGAAGACATCCCTAAGACAGCCTTCAGATCGAGATACGGACACTACGAGTACTTGGTCATCCCCTTCGGATTGACTAATGCCCCAGTAGTATTCATGGGCTACATGAATCAAATCTTCCAACCTTACTTGGATCTATTCGTGGTCGTATTCATCGACGACATACTAATATACTCGAAGAGCAAAGAAGAGCATGCGGAACACTAGAGAATTGTGCTACAAGTATTACGGGAGAAACAACTATATGCGAAACCATGGAAGTGCGAATTCTGGTTGCCAGAGATCCAATTTCTTGGACATGTAATCTCAGATAAAGAAGTAGCAGTGGACCCCAGTAAGATCGAAGCAGTAGTAGGCTGGGAACGACCAAAGACTGTCACGGAGATAAGGAGCTTCCTTGGACTAGCAGGATATTATCGGAGATTCATTGAAGGGTTCTCGAAGAGGGTGTTGCCACTTACCCGATTGACAAGAAAGGAAGTCCCTTTCGTGTAGACCCAAGAATGTGAAGCCTGTTTCCAAGAGTTAAAAAGAATGCAGACAACAGCCCCAGTATTGACGCTGCCAGACCCGGAGGAACCATTCAAGTATATCGTGATGCCTCCAAGATAGGCTTGGGATGTGTACTTATGCAACACGGCAGACCAGTAGCGTATGCATCCCAACAACTGAAGCCGCACGAGGAAAACTACCCCACACACGATCTAGAATTAGCTGCGATCGTGTTCGCCTTGAAGATATGGCATCATCACTTGTACGACGCAACTGTAACAGTGTACAGTGATCACAAGAGCCTCAAGTATTTATTTGATCAAAAGGAGCTGAACATGAGACAGCGCCGTTGGATGGAGTTCATAAAGGACTACAACTTTGAATTGCAATACCATCCCGGCAAGGCGAATGTAGTCGCAGATGTTAATATATGGACGTCCTAGAGACAATCTTTTAATTAGATTAGGACATATGTGGACCTTTGTATTGTCGCAAATAAATAAAAGCACTATTTATCCTATTTCATATTTTGTCTCAATATTACTGTTAATATTTTATATGAGTAACTGGATAAACCCCTTGGAATCAAATAGGTATCTCTTGAGTATCTGTGATGAGATCACGATCATGAGGATTCAAGGGTACTGGATATTTATTCCTAATTTTATGTTCCTAGTCTAGAGACACTGAGAATGGGGATCAGTGATCTCGGGTAAGACTAACACGACTTATCTACTTGTATTTGGATGCAAGGTAAAGACCTCATGAGCTACAGATATGGAGATGTCTTAGCTAAAGTCATGGGTGGATCTATAAGGGTATAGCTCGCACTGAACAGACCCACAAAAGAGTCTCTATGAGGAAATCTCACAAAGAGTATCATTAGAGTAGTCTCTTTATATTTGGGTATGTCTTTCCTTAGACCAGAAGTTATTACCTAGACTGTGTTCTAGAAGGCATGCTTTGAATGTATACCTCGTCTGCCTGAAACATGGAGACTCATAGGTATATTGTTGGGCTTGTCCTGAAAGAGCACAGGGCTAGGGTGATAAGCTGAAGGAATTCGTCAAATCTCTGTGAGAGATTAGGTTATCTGTAAACCAGAGAAATCGGGATGACATTTATAGGGACTCGGGAATCTATGCATAGTAAAAGAGATCATGAGATGATCTACCTTTAGAGTCAGTAAATTGAAGATTTCCTATTTCGAATAAAGCTTACCCTAAACCGCAAGGGTTGATACGCTTCCTTACCCTAGGTTTTATGGGAAGGTAACCGAGACGAAAAGAAATACATACGGCAACCAAATATGTGTAATAGGATGATCAAGTCATTAATCTAACTAGCTCTGGGGAAACAAAGCATTGTTAGTGCTCTGTGTTGTCATTAAATGGGTTGTGGGCTTGTTGGGCCCGAGCCCATTTATGTCAGTGGCTATGTTGGACCTAATGGGTCACACACTAACACCTTAATGTCATGATGATATAGCATTAAAGGTATTGGGCCTAATAATGGTTGTTAGCCCAAGATGAAGTTTGGAAGCTCACCTAAGAGGGAGAGGGCGCATGGTATTGGTAAATGGGCTTGGATGGTCCAAGACATTACTAATTAATTTAATTAGTTAAATTAATTATCAAATATTTAAATTTTGAATTTTGAATTTGAATTTTGAATTTTGAATTTTGAATTTAAATTTTGAAATTCGAATTTTGAATTTGAAATTCGAATTTTGAATTTGAAATTTGAAATTTGAATTTTGAATTTTGAATTTGAAATTTGAAATTTGAAATTTGAAATTTGAATTTGAAATTTGAATTTGAATTTAGAATTTAAATGTTTGAATTCGAATTTGAATTGGCTATGAAAAGTTGTTTCATAACAAAAGGATAAGATGAGATCTTGTTGGAACAAATCCCTTGTATCAAGAGAAGATCTATGGAGATCTCCAAGGGCTGATTTGGGGCACCATTTTGGTGGGAGATGATTGTCATCTTGTCAAACCAACAAGCTTCAATTAGATTTGGTTGTTGAGAGAATCAGTGAGCTAGTTGGTTCAAACTTGAATGCAACAGCTCAAATGTATCTGGACCCTTTATGGGCTGAATAGGGGCGCATGAATTGGTGGTCATATGATGACCATTGGTTCAGAACTTTGACTAGATAAATACCTAGTCTTATGAGGATTCAAAGGGGAGGTTGTTGGGAATTTTGAATTGCAACAACTCCACATTTGTCTCACTCACTTGTGCGCCACTTTCATTATAAGTAAAGTAAAAATTCTGATTTGATACACTAATTCTCTCCCTCTCTTGTGCGCCTAGTTGGTGAGTTCCTCCTTAAGGTTTTTCAAAAGAACCTAGCCAATTCTTCTATATACCATTCCCACTCTTGTGAAGTTTTCATGCTGGAGACTTCACTCTTCTAAACACATATACCTAGCCTCCTTTTTCACCTATTGAGCGCATAGTAAGCCTCTCTGTGGTGATCAATTGGTGGCTTTCAAGAAAGCGTTCTTGCATCTTGACGTGGGTGGTGTGGATCAACGTTAGAGGGTTTGAATCCTTCAAACCTAACACTGATCGTCTTGGAGTTTTGAACTCACAAACAAAGGTAACATCACATGCCATAAAGCATGATTCTTGATTGCATGTGTAATTCCGCATATGAAAAATTTTGTTTTTCTCTCTCACATGCTATGGCCTTCAAGGCCATTTTACTTTCAGCAGATGCCTTGAGCAGAAAAACCAGAGGAGTTGCGAGCATGATGATAGCCGAGCATCGACTGATAGAGGAATTCCAGAACTTGAACTTAGCAGTGGTAAATAGCGAATACGAGGCCGAATATTGGGCGGTGCAGATCTTAGACGAGCTACTAGAAAGGATCAAACATGCTCAGCAAGCTGTCGACTGCTTTAAGAGACTAAGGAACCAATCTGGTGTGAGTCTGAACCAGCAAGGCATAATTACTTTCCAAGGGAGGATAGTTGTCCCTACAAAACTCCTGAGGGAGGAAGTCATGGAGCTGGCGCATAAGAGTCAATATTCAATACACCCAGGAGCCACCAAGATGTACGCAGACTTGAAGAAGAACTTTTGGTGGAAAGGAATGAAAAGAGACGTGGGAAGGTACGTGAGCAAATGCATGGTGTGCCAGAAAGTAAAGATTGAACATCAACGACTGGCAGGCACCCTACAGCGCTTGAGCATCCCAGAGTGGAAATGGCAGAGTATATCTATGGACTTCGTAACAGGTTTACCCAAAACTCAAGCAGGCTACGATGCCATCTGGGTGGTGGTCGACAGACTGACCAAATCAGCACACTTCATACCGGTAAAAGGGACTTACACGACAGAGAAGTTGGCTCAGGTCTATGTGAAGGAAATTGTAAGGTTGCACGGCGTCCCTGAGAGCATAATCAGTGATCGAGATCCTAAGTTTACATCCTGATTCTGGTCTTCATTGCAACAAGCATTCGGGACCCAACTGCGATTGAGCAAGACTTATCACCCCCAGACCGACGGACAGACTGAGAGGACGATACAAACACTCGAGGACATGTTACGGGCTTGCGCTTTAGAGAAGGAAGGTTGTTGGGATCAGTACCTGCCATTGGCAGAATTCTCTTACAATAACAGCCATCATGCCAGTATCGGTATGGCCCCGTACGAAGCACTTTATGGAAGAAGGTGTCGTACACCTATATGCTGGGAAGAAGTTGGTGACAGAGAGTTGTTCGGACCAGACCTGATCAGAGAAACGACAGAACAGATCAAGATGATTTGCGACAGGCTACGGAAAGCCCAAGATCGAAAAAAGAGTTACTATGACCTGAAGCACCGACCCCTGGAGTTAAAAGTAGGGGATCATGTATTTATCAAACTCTCCCCTATTACTGGTGTTGGTAGAGCTCTTGGTGTACGGAAGTTAAGTCCACGATATATCGGTCCCTATCAGATTCTAAAAAGGGTAGGACCGGTAGCCTATCAATTAGCATTACCACCCAATCTGGCGAACCTTCACAATGCATTTCATGTAAGCCAGTTGAAGAAGTATTTGGCGGATCCCTCCCATGTTGTATTATCGGATACTGTTGAAGTATGACCCAACTTGAAAATCCTGATGGTACCCTGCAAGATTCTAGATAGAGAAGAGAAGCGACTCCGCAGCAAGGTGATTCCGATGGTGAAAGTGCAATGGCAAGGAAGGACCCCTGAAGAAGCAACCTGGGAACGTGAAGATGAGATCCGACAGAAATATCCCGACTTAGTTTAATTGTAATTTTCGAGGACGAAA